CTTAATCGATTTCTCTTTTCATTCTGATCATTTATGTATACATTTGTCTATATCTATCTCGATTCGTTTTGCCTGTTACAAACAACCGTTATGTGAACAAAGTTATAATACCCTTGTGCACAAGTGCGCTCGGGTATAAAAATAGCACGAATCAATCAATGACCAAACAAATAATGAAGTTCTAATTTGAACAAAACCGAAATTTATAACCCAGCGCATGTATATTGACTGCACTTCATACGCCGAACGAAGAAAATCAAAATCATTTTCAAATGGGAGATAATTTGTGTAATCATAAGAAATTATAATTAAAATGAGAAAAAAGACAAAAGATTTCCCTTCGTTAATTTAATGTTCCGAAATTCATTACGTCATAAAGTTTTATATTACATTTGAAAAATTTCGTTTCAAGTTTAAAATTGTGCTCACGAGAATTGCTTCATTAGCCGGGTCGAAGAAAATAAGCAAGAAAAAATCAACTTTAAGCGCTTAGATAAGTACTAAAACATTAGTAAATATGCTTGCAAATATGCTCACAAAACAACAAAAATTAAGTACAGTTTAATGTTTTGTTTTTTTTTTTATTTCAAGTATTGAAAAATTACAATGGAAACACAAGTGTTGCTTGATATTCTCCAATAATAGATTAATTATAATTAATTAGTTAAATATTCGTTATTCTCCATTTGAGATAAATTATTTTTAATCTCTTCAATAACACCAATGCCTTCCCGTAGAGACGAAACATTGGTTTTAATTTTTTTATCCAAACAGAAATGCAATTGAAGTTACGGGTTAATAAAAATCAAATCTGTTTTTATGTTATTATTTGTCAACATTTCTTTAGTTCGACGAAAAAAAAAGCCCAAGTATGATCAAGAAAAATTTATTGAGCCAAATTTTCTTAAGCAGTACGAATTTGCTACAACTTCTACCACGGTTTGCTAAAGTTTCTTTGTGAAGAGTATAAGGCAACCTTGATTTCAACAGACAATATATGTATGCCCGTTCCATTATTTCGTAAAGCAAAAGTAAGACAGCTGGCTGTAAAATATCAGAGACCAAAACTCCTTAGACACTACTATTCACACACACGAACTAATAGCAACTTAATTCTTCTGAAATAAGCAAAATAAGCATGATCACTAAAATTAAGCTTGGAAACCCTGAATGAGCAAAATAAGCAAAACCTTAAGCTGTTCGGTTCTGTTCATTTGTCACTGAGGCAGCATTATATGGAAGGAGGGGGCGTATTATGAACACATATAACTTAGCCAATTTCATGGTGTGACAAAGTAACGGTAACCAAATATAGTAGCCCATGAAAGGTCGTTGATAATTCCTTTATGGGTTCTAAAACTTGAGGCTAGGTTTTTACTCACTTATAAAAAATTCCCTGGCTAACATTTGCTCATTACTAGGCTTATATTTTTAATTTATTTATCTGTAATAAATAAGTACTATAGCAGATGCGACAATTTTCTTTGTGAAAAGCTACAGCTGAGTTTTATTCAATCGGTAAGTAATTTTTATATTACCAACAGGTTCCCTCAATATTTCTACTCTTAAGGCCTTGCCAAATGAAACTTTGTGGCTTTGCGTGACATTTGTAACTTTTACAGCAAACCACAAGGCGCAAAAGGTAACCAGCAATGAACGCCTCGTGCAAATTACTGTGAACTTTATATATAGTCACCTGAAATGCAAAAAGACGTAACAAACATCATCTTTGAAATGCAGCAAGTCATAACTAATAAAAAATTAAAAATTCACTTTTTGATTTATATGATGGATTTCATCGAATTACAACTCCACACATATGTAATTTTATGAAAAAAAATTAAAATATTAGTCACGACTTTTTCCATTTCATTTACGGTGTTGTTACGTCTTTTTCCAATTCAGGTGACAATATATTTAGTTTAAAAATATCACCAGCGTGAAGCGAAGCAAGCGTTTTATGCGACATCTGCTTTTCAAGTTAAGGAGAAATCTAAAGCAGTTACTAATAGAAAATAGAGTAATAAGGACGCATGCAGGTTATCCGTTCATTTTGCCCGTCGCTCGATGAGTCTAGCAGGTTCTCTTTAAACCAAACAAAATTACTGCAGTGAAATAACGTAGCAATCCGAAGTCTGAACTGTTCAGGGACCGTTTCATTGCAGAGACTCTTTGAATAGTGAGGATGGTTTTAACGGCTTGTAAGATGTATCTACGTTCATAAGAATATCTGGTGAAATTTTCTTTGTCTTGACATCACAATATTTCTATATGGTCACCGAAGGAACTCTTGATAAGAGTAGACTATCTAACCCAACATATTTGCGTCTGCTAGTTTTGTCTCGTACTTCGAACATACATACATATGTATGTAAGTATGTCCATAGGTACTCATAGAATACGATTCATTATAAATCCAATAATACCGACGTGCAGCAAAGTCTTAATTATCTCGGAAACTGGATGAGCCCCTATAATTATTTTGGTGACTCTAAAGAGCCCAAAAATAGCACGTAATTCCTCATTAATATTTATCCGTGTTCGATCAAAGTTTCGGAAGTGGGACATATAGCGTGACGTCAAGCGGGTTTTCACTGTTTACTGGGAAATATTTTGAAAGCACATAAAAAGCCCAAAAAATAAGCCCAGATAAGTAGTAAAAAGAGCTCATTGAATGAATGTTTTGCTAAGTTACGGTTAACTTAGCAAAGTCTTAATTATTTACCAAATGGTCGGAGCCCGAAAAAAAAATCGAAAACGCTTTTAAAATATTTATGTGTTGTTCTCCCTCCCACTATATCCAAAACAATTTTAGCTCCTATTCTTTCAAGTTTTGCAAATAATAGGTAGAGTATCGACTTTCTGCAAGAAATTCTATTTGCAATCTAATATTTATAATTCTTTACAGGCTGATTAAAAAATTCCTTTGCAAATCAAGTTCTATACCACAAGTTCCTATTAAATTCGATATCTCACTGAAGTGTGTAACTAATCTTATGCTGTAGTAATATCATAAAGTTCTAATATTACTTTATTGAGTGATTTTGAACAAAAGCCTATAAATTAAGACAAGGATACTTATATTTAAAAATGGATGTATGTATGTATGTATATACATATGTACTTATCTAAAATGAAAGCTCGAATTTAACTCAGAAACCACTGGATGGATTTCAATCATATTTTCGGAGGTTATCAGGCAGATTCTGCAATTCACTTCTGAGTGAATTTCAACAAAATTCACATTGAAGCCGACATTCGATGTTCTGTATTTTACATCCCGAGTTTTATTTCCACATTTCTTTCCAAAATTAATTCCGCGTGAATCTTCTCTTCTGATAAACGGATCCGCGAAGAAATTTTCGAATATCAATGACCCGAAGTTTGTGAAATTGCTTAAATTTTGCAAAAAATACATTTAAAAATATTTTATTTTTAAAATATCGGTATATAATTGTTTATACCTTAGAAGTATAGTTTATCCGTAAAAGGGGTGTAAAGGAAACTGTACTTTTTTACTCTGGAAAATTAGTTTAGTGAAGGGATAAAAAATCGATATATCAGTACTCCAAAGAATGACTTTTGGTCAGCAAATGGTAGCCACCAGACCATAGTGCAGTGATTCGGAATATACCCTTAGTATTTTTAAAACTGGCTCTAATTTTACAAAATTCTCTATATAGAAGTTGTTTCGAACCTATCTGTCACAAAATTCTTGCGAAATATGAGAACGAATGTCTCAGTTTTCATCAACATAAGGAATAAAGACTCATGTGACCAGTCCAGTCTATGCAGAAATTAAATTTCAATATTTTGAATTTTCAAGAAAGATGGTTCTTCCAATAAATTTTTTTATCACTTACCAGCTTTGACTTAAGTTATGTGAAATGTGTTAATTTTTCTTTTATGGCATCAATGTGCAATTTTATTTTTAAGCCTCTACATACTCAATGGGTTGACATTTCGATGGACGGGTATCAATGCGTTTCCAGCTGGTATTCCCATAAAAAAAAACTTGTGTGCAGGAGAACTTGTAGAGAACCAATACAATTTTGGCGCATGTCGTAAAACATACCAAATTTTATGATTCAGTTGAAAAACGCACTAAATTCAAATTCACAGACTCTTCAAAACGCGCATTGTGTCAATATAAAACTGCCAATTTGTAATAATGTGAAAGAATGGCTTAAAAGGACACTCACAAAATCATAAAATAAACCGACGAGCGACAGGTCAACTTACGAATGACAGTATGCAGTAAGCTTATGTATGTAAACAACATGCAACTTCACGCCGTTGCGAAATAAGTGCGTTATGAAGGAGATCCATAAATTTTAATGACCCATTGGGGATTAATGATAACACATACATCCCTTCATTCGACCGCTTTTGCTACTCCCAGTCACTGTGTTTAAATAAATATGGAATCTTTTTTGGAAACCTGCTTTACTTTTTCATCACACTTCTATCAGGTTATTGAAAGTTGACGTTTCACTTAAGCAGCAGAAGCTATAAAGCATGAAATATAATGAAGTTAAATCACTCAGCGTATTTCTGCTTAAATTATCGTGGCTTGGGGTTCGACATTGCGTATGAGTGATATTGAATTTTGCATTTACATACATATCGCTACCTTAATATAGAAAGGCCCTA